CCATACAATTTTTCTTTTTGTTCTGTTTTGCCCTCATAACTTTTCGAAACCACAGAAATCCTAATAAGAGAAAACATGTAATTATTCATAATTTAAAAGGACCCCTTTGATATTTCTAGAGAAATTTCCAGTAGTCTTCCTTGGGATATTAAGAATATAACCCAAGCAGCATTATTACAAAATATCAGTGGCAGATCCAGGATTCGAAATACAAGAGAAGTGGCATAACTAAGGGATTTTTTAGGGTGCCTAAACATCCCACTCGAAGTTCAAACATGAAAAATATTAGCAAATTAATGGAAATAAATGTCAAACTAGGTTACCGTAGACCGATTTTTGGTGTAGTCATAGCCAATGACATGCTCTGTCCCTTGTAAAATTCAGCACATCTCCCCACCCCTTATCCCATTTGCAAATCCTGGATACGCCAATGATGGGGTACAGAAAGGTAATTTTACAGATAAAGAGTCCAGACTACCTCAGTTCAAACACGGTTGTGGTTGTGGGTGAGGGATAAAATTTCAATGTAATTTGTTTTTTGAATTTTCAAAAATTTAGGGGGCCAAGGAGCCGTCCGAGCCTCCCCTGTAAATCCGCTTATGAATATAGTCTGTACTCAGACATTTCCTAGCCTACCTTGCCTTATCAGGGGTAAGTAAGCCAAGTATCATTTTTATAAGATCTGGTCTGTAGTCAGGCATGGTGTAGTCAGCTGACAGCACTTCTGTGAATGGATATTCCTGAAGAAACAACAATTAAATATTGTATGAGAATAATAATAATAAAAATGTAGATTTATATAGCACTTTATACTGAAACAGTCTCAACAAAGCACTCAAGGTGTGGACTGGCTCTTCAGTAAATTGTTTCGCACCTAAGGGTCACTTCGTGGCTGAGCTACCTGGTAAACCAGTACCAGCTTGTCTCCTCTGTCCACAACAGGACAGGAGAGGTAAGCATCTACTTGTCTCAAAAGGTTTACTGGTTTCTTCAAAATGCACGAGCCAAATTGTGTACACCGGCAGACCTATGGTTTATAGTCCGTATCTGAGAAGACCAAGAGAACCACAGGCGAGGGTGCCGTTCGATCCAGTGCTGATATTACGTGCTGCACATTGCGGTGGTCCTGCCTGAACCACTCTAACATCCAACTTGCCAACACACAAGTTTATTCATGCATGACATGTTGAATAGAGCAACAAAATGTATCAAAACATTAATAACTGCTTTAATTATAGTGTTGAGAGAAAATATTACTAAATATAAAAAAAAAATGTGTTCACAAGAATCAATGTTTTAAGGTTGACGGTAATTTTTGGTTCTGTCATTCTGTAGCGCCTTGAGCACTACTGCAGTGAATAAGTGTACTTAATAATTATTATTATTATTATTATGAACCTATGATCTTGAGATAAAAAACCGAGCACTGCAAACACTTGACCACACCCTTACATATTAAGATAAAACAACTCACATGAAGATTGGCAACGGTAGTCATCACATAGGATGAAGGCCTTTCTTTGTCCTTGAACCGGAACCTCATATTATCCAAGTCCTGGCATTCCCTATGGATCCATTCCTGAGGGCCTTCCTGACGGAGCATGTTTAAATACTGGAACACATGCATGATAATATCTTGAATATGATCTAACAAAGTAAAACAAAAACAATAAAATAATTTATATATCAGATAAATAAAAACCCAAAGATTTTATAAATCTAGTTTAGTTATTATCACAATTTGACAATTAGACTTTTTAATATTTTGGTTATGGCAATATTTGTTAAAGCTTGTTTCAAGAACCCGCTATCTGCCAATAAAAATGATTTCAAATATAAATGATAAATCAAATTTTATTCTTGGTTGGTTAGTACACCCGTCGTCACAAAAAATACCAATTTCAGGAAAAAAACAAACTTTTATAATTTTTAATTGTACCCTCCGCTGCCTTGATATCTCCCAAAATAAGATATCTATGTTTTTTCGTTAATTATTTTACAGTATTTATCAATCCTATTACTACTGTTTACATTCATCAATAAAGCCATTTATTTATATTCTATTCCACCCTCCTTTGACATCCTTTTAAAAAATAAGTTTGCTAAACAAGGTACTGTATAAAAAAAAGTCACGCCTAATACCATGCAAGTTGTAGTTTAATTATTAATGTTAAATTATAAAACTTGATTTCTTTAAATCCAGCGGTAAGTCTTATGCCAACTTCTAGAACTGAGCAAGAAAGAAAATTTCCGGAATGTTATTCAAGCGTTATTCGAGCTTAACAACAAACCGATCAGAACAGTGCCAGGAATCAAACACACATGTTGTCCAAAAAGAGACTATGTGGATATTCAGTGCTTGCCCAGAGATACAAGCGAAATGCACGTCAGAGATGCAAAACCCAAGCCTCAAGTTTGGAACAGGAGCAGTAAACCTCTGTATTAACCCCTCTGCACATTCATTTCATATTCATCCCTCTAAACATGTAAATATACAAATATCCTGAAAATGCTACTCTATGATTGGTTTACCTGCATCACAATAATATTGTACTAATCATTATTTGGTAACATACCCAGTCCTTCTTCACTTAAGTCAACAGTAACAGTGAAGAATGCGAAGCCCTTAGCTCCAGGCTTCTCTCCACCACATAACATGTTCACCCAGCCTTGTGCCTTCAGTTCGGACAGCAGACTCCCTGATCCTTCGTGCCCTACTAGATGGCCTAGGTAATGAGAAGGCTGGAAATAGATTTTGAACAGAAATTCAACATGTAGCTTTTAATAAAGGAAAAAAGGTATGTGAGCTTAAGAACAAAAAATGTAATAATTATTAAAGCTCCAGCGGTGGCGGGAGAATTTTGCCGAGAAGGGGGCCAACGGAAGAGGGTCCGAACTAAGGGGCCGACGAAGCCTCGGTTGACGCCCCAGAATAAAAAACCCCTAGTAGAGTTCACAGGGAGAGTTTTAATTGCTTATTATGGTCCAAAAATGTGCTTTTAGACCACAATATTAGGGACTGGCAATCAAAATAACGTTATTTGGACAGGAAAATTAAAATTTTTGGTCCGACGTCCTAGTCGTGCGTCGGACGACAGGGGGGTCCAGGCCTGTCTGATGGGGGGGGGGCAAATTCCCCCCCCCCTGCTGGCACCACCACTGTAAAGCTCCTCATGGTAAGTAATATTTCATGTTAAACTGACCGATTCTCCACCCCGCTCTTCCCCATTCACCTAAAAAAAGGCCTTGGATTAGAAGCCAATTCCAGGTGGTATTGAATTACTTTATTCTCATCATCTTATTTATAGGACATGAAATGTTTGCACCTAGACAGAAACATAGCAAAAGACCGCCAACCAAGCAAGATGGGATATCTAAGCATGCTGGCCAAGAATCATCACTATATAGTTGGAAATCCGGACACAAAGAATGTTTCTCACTTTAGAAAGTCCACATTTTACTTAAAGCCAGGTTATGTAGCAACAACTTATTTTAATATGTTGTACAATTGAATTTTCTAAGACTCAAAGAAGGTATGACGAAAAACTCAGGAGCGGTTAATGAGATACAGATTTTTGAATATTTAAAAACTGGGTGAAAAAGGGGCATAACCACCCTTTTTGTCAGATTACCCAACCCCAGATTTTAAATATTCAAATCCTCCCAAACACTCTTTTTGCGTTTTAGAAAAAAATCAGTCATATACCATATCAAAACATTGTTTTTCTTACAGAGCCTGACTTTTTCTTGAAGAAATTCCCTCTAAAAGTCGAAAAAATTTTACCTGAGGGTGAAACCATCAAATTAAAGGACTATGGGTAAAAAGCAGTCTATTACAGTTTTGATACAAGGAAACCTTCACAGTAGCGCTGCCCTCTTATGTTAATGATTAACTCACCTTGGATAGGTAGTGCTCACTCATATCGGGTATTGGAAAGGAAATGTTCAACTGTCGCAGATCTTTTATAGGTACAATATTTAATTCAACCTGAAAATGTTAAATAAAATACTTAAAATCTTAAATTGTGGTTTGGTCAAATTACTGGGAGCGTACTATTACCGCATGAGTAAAATATTTAGCAATTTAAAAACTTTAAAATAATTTATCAAAATTTACATTTAAGCAGAATAGCTAGACTAAACATTGCATTTATTTATTGAACCATAATCATCACTGAGTATCTTGATTTAATTGCATCAGCCAAGAGCCACGGAGTTTGAAAGAACACCCGTTTTCCGGAAATGCCCTTCTAAATTGCATCTAAGTTGTTGAATGAACTCCAGACATTTGAAATTTGGCATTTTTTTTTTAATAAACTGGAATGTCATTTCCAGACATCTGAAGTTTATATATTTAAAATCTTCCCCATCCATGGCGGGGCTGAGGTGGGTCAACTAAAAGTGCCCTTTTGTGCAAAAATTAGAACCCTCCTCCAGTAACCCTGCCTACAGGCTTGCTAGGTACTGTTACAACTAAAATTCACCTGTCCAGAGGGAGGTGGATCGGTGTATGCACAAACTTTTGGCTCCAGGTTTATTATTATAAAATTAATCATTAAAATACTTATCTAATTATTTATTCCTAGTTGCAGTAAATTCTGCAATGTGCAAAAGGGCATTTGTGTAATGTGTTATATAAACTAGATTTATTATTATATTGTCATATCAATATAATTTTCACTGATCGAATTTCCTAGTCCAAATTTCAAGCACCCTGACCATCTTATATTAGATGGATACGGCGCTATATAAATATAAAACTACACTAATTATTATTATTATTATTACTATGATATCTAAATACACGTCTCCCTCTAATTAAATACCACCTCCAATTAAAAAATACTTTTCTGTGGTCCCAGATTAACAAATGTCTTCTATCTTGTCTTATTATTCTAATTAGTGACCAAAGTAAGACCATGGAAACCCAGGTTCAATAATGGTCTTTATTTGGAAAGAGATCTCTAACTGGAAATGCTAAAAAGATTACATTGAAAAATATGCATATTGTGCACAATATAGATTTATTGTTATTGTGAATATAAATCTAAATAAACAGAAAAACTACAATGATGATATGGTTGAATAAAAATTTGGTTATATGCATTTGAATAACAATGAAATAATAGAAAACCTGCAATTGTTCCTCGCCATATGGATGATCTAACCAAACTGGAATCTCAACAGATTTATTTTCTACATTTCCGAATAATTCTGTAATCATTGATTCCATCTGATCTAAAGAATCTAAATCAGAATTTGAAACAAAAATATTATAATCAGATATATTTATACATAAATTAACTGTGAGCATCCATCAATCAATCAAATAATCAATCAACATGCATTTATAAAATTCCATAATCCACAGCAGAATTCAATGTTAAGTGGTGACATTAGCATTTATGCTGTGAATACAGAGCTGTAAAACAATTTAATAGATTTCGTTAAAGTTATAGATCAATCCACAATGACAGGGCTGAAATGAGACATAGTAATGAGGTCCTCTACTCTTCCAAATGATGCAATGGGTTCTTTAAAAGTGCACATGAGCCAGACTTCCCGTTATTATGTCCTTATCTGAGAAGACACTTGGCTCTACCAACAGAACCCTGGACGAGGAGCAGCTCAAACCAGTGTCAATGATAATGCTGTAGTTAGCGGCACCCTTTCTATATCACTCAGCTACTAGACTCGTGGTAAGATGAACATTATAATTTTTTTTAAACAAAAATTCTTATAGTAATTATTTCATGTGTCTTATCAGTGGCCAACATGGTTGTGTCATTGTCCACATCACATTTTGTACTACAGTACAAATTAGTGCTTTACCTTTTCCAAGTATTGTTAATGCCATTATGTTAGACGAGTAGTACTGAGAATGAAAATTCAACAGTTCTTCACGTACATTTATCCCTTCTTGTAATGGAATAGTCTGCAGTGTATCCTTATTACCTACAAAATAACAAATAAATGGTGGAAAAAAAAAAATTAAGAATCACTCTTCTTTCAATTTAATTGCTACAAAACCAGCTTTGGGTTGATATCCAATAAAACAAATCACAGCAATACAACATTTAACAAGAAAATGATACGCAAGTCTTATTCAACTTATTTCACTATGGTCATAATCACCCAAATCATACATAAGGTATGCACAATGGGGTAGGGACATTACTAGGCTAAAGCTGTAATGTCCTCCATAACCCCACCCTAACTATGCTTTATGGGGTAGGGATGTCTTAACAACCTGCACACCCCTCCTTAATTATAGGGTAGGGGTGTCACTCTGATTAGGTACTAATAACTTGCATATCATTTTCTAGCGATAAATGAACTATTACATGAATAATAATATATATTGATCAGTAGACCAAAATAGTTGAAACAGTAAAGCAAAAAATCAGAGATGAAAATGTCTGACATTAAAAGTGGTCTCTTTATGTCATAGCCCAACTATTCCTTGCCCTGAAAAATATACCCATATTGTTTATTAAGTATATTCGTTTTATTTCTATGTACGTAAATATCATATTATATATTTGTCATGCAATTTTATGCAGATTAGCTCACAATGGCTATTGAAAAAGCAAGTTAAGTGGCCAAATCTTGGTACTAAAAAATTTAATTAAAACAGTGAATTGATCTTCTGACCTATTTAACAGGCTAAACAAATAAATAAGTAATTACCTGCATTGAATTTGGTATATACATGGCCCTTTTTAGAGGTAGATTTTTCAAGCTGAAAGAGTCTCCAATTGTCTTGTTTCACATTGCGCGTGTTCTCTTGGTCAACGGCATTCACTTCACGATCCGTCACCTCCTCGTTTAGTAACGGACAAAGAAAGAACTGAGCAAATCTAAAAAACAAAGATTTTTAAAATACCAACATAAAACACCATTGTCAATGTAATAAATTACCATTCCTTTCCTTATTGTAACATATATTACATAGAACATTCTAGAATTTACATAGAACATTCTAGAATTGTATATATTTGACCAAACAAACAGTGTAAACCACATTGGTAATTACAGGAACATAGGAGACCATGTGAAAGGTTCTAAATGTTGAAATACTAAAAAGCAATTGCCTAAAATTGGTTAATTATGATGTAATGTGACCAATGAGAAACTTAGGCAATATAGAATGCTCTTGAATGCTCTGGAGTTCTAGGGCTAATGTATATAAGGTGAGAGATTGGTCTTTCAAAAAAGCTCTTTTTGGAAACACATGTTTATGTGAATGTTATTGTGTTGTTTTGAGACCGGATTCTTGTTGGAGTTTATACGGAATAAAAGTTTATTTAGAGTTCTGTTACAACCTTGTGAGCAGTGTTTATATTTTATATGTCAAAGAGGGATTCATAGCCATTTCTATAGCTCGGAAATACGTCAAGCAGGAATTCATGACAGTCAATATGAAAAATCACACGCTGTCCTAAATTCCGGGAGACTCTCGTAAATTTCCGGAGACTTGGGACCCTTTCAAGTCACTTGTGTTGTTGGGCAAGGCACTTTATCTACGTTTGTCTCTCTCCACCCAGAAGTATAAATGTGTACCTGTTAAGATCTAATACCAAGCGCTGATTCTAGCAGCTCATAGAATTGTACTCCCCAGGGAGCTAAGGATAAGTTCCATGTCGTTAAATGTTAAACTGAGTAATTAGCATAAGAATGTGGCAGTTTTGTGTAGGCTTACTATAGTACAGAAAAGCTGTAATACTTATACTCATAACTTTGGCAATAGTATGTCGATTCCAGTATTATTGACCTATCACTTTTTTTTTTTTTATTTTTACCTATCAAGGTTTTATTCAATTTTCTTGTTTTGGTCAATTAGGCTGGTTTTGGCACGGCAAGTCCCCATATATAGGTAAATCACAAAAAAACTGTCAAAGAAAAATAGATAGTGTGACAGGACTTTATCCTATAATTCGAAATGTAGGGCAGATTAACCAATGAATGAATGATTACACATGCTATTAGATATTAAAGAAGAAAAAAACAATATATACCTATCTAAAGCTCCCGAAAAGTGTTCACAACCTACATCAAAATAATAGTTGGTGTGTTGGCCAGATGTGAAAGCGTTTGATGATCCTCCATGCTCAGACAGATACTAAAAAAAAAAAAAACAGATGTGGAGCAATTTCTTCTAATTATATATAATTATATGTATTATAACTAACATCAGATTAACTACAGCTATAATATGAATAGTGTATAAAAGAGATCTAAAGTTGTTACTGAGGATGATAATAATTATGATGATGATAGTGAGGATGATAATAATTATGATGATGATAGTGATGATGATAATAATGATAATGATGACATGGTCAGGAATATGAAAATGATGAAGATGTACAACATGATGATTACAATGTACAACGCTTAATGATGATAACATTGATTTATTTATTATTATTCAAGGTTTATTCCAAAATGTATCGCAGTAAAAAACTGAATTACAACAAATGGTTACAATTTACAGATATCAAAAATTACAAATATAAAAATATTATATATGTATATATATATAAAGATATATATATATATATATTTAAAACATTTATAAACAACAATTCAACAAGATCTTAAAATATATTAAAAGTTGAATTTATAAATCGAGTAAAACATTATAAAATACACGAGTCACAAAGTAATACATGTAAAAACGAATGAAAAAAAAAAAAAAAAAAAACCCCGATAATTAATTATAATAAAGAACATTCAGATAATAAAATTAGATACTTATACCTGCATATATGCATTTTCTTCAGGATACTGTAAAAAGCAGAGAAAAAAAAAATCAAGTTAAAACCTTTTATTATGATTATGATGTTTTTTACAGACATGCCAACCCTAGAAGACCAACAAGAGGAGTCTGAAAAACATTTGAGCGGAGTTTTGGCAATGTGAGAGAAGTATTCCTAAGACATGGTACCAATGTGATCGGATTGTAAAATGTAACCGTTATGACTCACAATAGCAATACCGCCGTGCAAGACTAGGCCCTAGCCTAGGCAGAAAATCAACACTACACACCAGTCACAAGCGTACCGTAGGCATCACCAGTAGTTTTGATTTCAAACTGACAGTATACTTTCCGTTATTAACTTGCATGTTTGCGTGTGTTTTAGCTTCTTTTTTGGAGGAAGCTCAACACTACTACCCGTTTTTTGGTACTGCCTAGGCCCACATCGCTCTCATCGAACTCCATTTTCAAAATCGTGCTTTACTAGACTGTTATTGTTACAAAATCAGTAGACCATGGAGCACTATACAGTTCAGAGTGCAGTGGAACTCTGACATCAATTTGGCCAACGAAATTAATTTGGTTTTTTTTTCGAAATCAGTAGACCGTGGAGCGCAAATAAATTTTTTCGTATACAATTCAGAGTGCAACTCTGACAGCGATTTGGTCAATGAAATTGTTTTTTTTCAAAATCAGCAGACCGTAGAGTGCAAATTACTATTTCGTATACAGTTCAGAGCACTGTTTTCAGGACGAAATTATAAAAAGTGGTCTTGTTCTTATGTAAATCATAGAATTATCATTTTTATTTGGAAATGCACGATTTATTTTGGCTGGCCAAAATGCGTAAAAATCGGATATTTTCTACCCAAAAATCAAAGTGCGGAGTTTTGCTTAAATAAACGGAGTAACTCCGCTGTATTCAGAGTGGTTGGTACTGTATGTCTGTTTTTAATATGAGGCCTGCTGATGCAATTTTTAAAAGAACCCTTTACCAGTCAACCTCCTGTCTCCCAAATTTGGATATTCCAGGTTTGGCATGTCTGTAAATCCTACCAAAAAAGAAGTGGGGGCGGGGAATGGAAAAAGTAAAGTACGTTGTAACTGTGTTCCTAGAATTTAATGTTTGAATTTCCTTTATTTATGATTTCTTCCCAACTTAAAATGAGACGATGTTTAAAATTGTCCATTTATTGGAATTTGATTCTACATGAACACTGACATACCTTCTTTGTTCCTAAGAATAGCATATGTTCAAGGAAATGTGCAAGACCAGGAAGATTCCATGGATCTGATAAAGAACCTGGCAACAAAATCAATAAACAAAACATATGGTGAAATATGTAAAAAAACTTATATTGTAAGGCAAAATACATTTCTTACTTGTATGGCTAAATAAATATCTTTTATGGAATCACTAAATAATATATGCAGGACATATGGTCTCAGTATTTTCTTTCATGCTCGATGTGTAAGTTTTAAACAAATTGCAAATTTCTGTTGTTAGTTTTTACGTAATTCTGCTAACAGACAGACAGCGATGAATTTGCGTAGTTCTGGTAACAGACAGCGATGAATTTATAGCCTCTTTGGAAACAAATGCCATACGCCAAATCTCCCACTAGCATTAAAAAAAAAAATACAGTACCAGAATTAAGTTATTTAGCTTGATCACTACCTAATTTGGACAGACAACAATATTCTGACATGTTTCCTAGGTAAGATGAACTTTGTGTAACTTCACCTTTTAGTTTCTGAATATATTTCCTGCTTATTGCAGGTTGGTGATATTAAATTGTGGAAACACAATGCAGTGGTGCTCGGCTCTTCTGCTGTAGTCATATCAGATTTGGTTTTATTTACACTTTGGTTAGCCCTGAATTAGGTTTTTCATTTGTCGTCTTTTTTTTTTCTCAGTGCATTGGGACTTCGGTATATTGCACTTTAATAAATTCTACTATATTACATTACATTAATAAACGGTTCAACAAAGATTACACCTCTAAAAATATTTAGAGTAGTGACACATTACAGTACGCTCAGGGATGTAGTTATGGTGGGTGGGACCATTCATACTGTACTTAAAGTTTTCCACCCAGTCATGTCCTCCACCAACTATTAACTCCTTGCCCATCCTTAAAATTCACTCTTATTATATTTAGAGTTTACCAATGTTATTACTGATCTATACTACCCTTAAAATGGCTATCAATCACCCCTCAGTTTTATACAGCTACAACCATGGAAACTCCCAAAATGTGACATCATAATCAACTTGGGGACAATTGGTCCTGAAACTAATAACTTGTCCCTTTTATACTGCATGTTTAAACTGTATCGTATCTATATAGTGACAAAAATGAGGCATCAATTATTTACCAATGTGAATATCCATTGCTGCGGCTGCTTTTTCAGTTGTAGGGTCACTGATCATTAGAATTTTCATCCCATTCTTCAGTAGCAAACCACGGTAGAGCCGTTTGTCCTCAGCTGATTTGACAATATCATTGTACTTGCGCTCGATGTTTGGATGCATTGCTACAGAACTTAATATCCTTTTGGTGTTTCTGATAAATTAAAATCAATGAATTATTGATTTAAAAATTTAATATCCCCCTATTTTTAAACCTTACCAATCACTCTATCTACAGTAGACCTATATTGCTAATTTCAAAAAAAAAATAAAAAAATTTGTAAATTTTAATTAAAAAATGTAAATTTTGATTATTTGTAAATTTATCCAGGTAATTCTTGAAAACCTTCAACGAGAATGAACATACATGTACAACAGTTTCAGGCAAGGCATTCAAATTAGGGTGTCCAGTAAGGATTCCAAACATTTGATTTGCTTACTAATTTCTTTACGGGTGGATAGTATTTACTTTCCATATTACAAAATTTGTTGATGTTTACTTCCAGAGAAATATAGCGATTTTAGCCACGGACAAGGTAAACAAGTAGCGCCCTCTACCAGCAGATGTACAGTATGTCATAATTTTGTCGCTAACTGCTTTTATAATTAATGCTAACAGAGTACAAATAACTACATATTATTAATTATTCATTATGTGAATAAACTAATTTCGTTGAGGGAATATAGTTTGATTAGAATAAAATAAGAGATGTTTATCTCATGAAATACTGTAATACGTAAATTAGCAGTACATGACTAGACAGTCCATGGCAACAGCAGTGCATAGTGTTGAAGATGGAAAAAAATGCATTACAGAGTTTGTGTAGGCCAGGAGAATGATCATTTTTGAAGCCTGAATATATTGCTTGTATTTTACAACAAAAGATACTCTTCTTTTTTATTTTTCACAACTGATTTGACATTATTGAAATATATAATCATTGATATTACAGAGGAATAGGCCTAGCTATCTAGTAGGCTGCCCTAGTATTGTAAAAAAATAGACAATTAAAGAACTTTTTTTTCATTGCTTATTTATCTATTAATTATCATCACATCAGTAATTATTAGTAATCAAAATTGTTTATCAATAATGAAAACATCTCGTCAGTGTAGCGTAGCCCACTAAGCTAAAAATACCTAGGCCTAGGTCAGAAGGAGGGCTTAGCCTAACGAAGGTAAGGCCGGGCCAGGCCAAGTCTAGCCTAGGCCCTAGGCTAGGCCTACTTACATTAGTCCTCCCAATCGGCGGTTCAATATAAAATCTGGTTTGATGGCAGTGTTCGATGAAAAATTTCTAATAAGTAACGTAATTCTATGCATGAAATACTGTAGACTGTTTGTACATATGAAATGAAAAACAAAAGATCAAATTGTTGGTTTTTCGCGCAAGACGACGTGTGTTTATTAGAACTTTGACCTTTTGATCATGGAGGGCGCTCTTTATGAAGCTTACAATTTTCACCAAAAAGGAATCGCTTTTGTTCGACTGGGAATAGAAAACAGCAGAGCAAAATAAGTATATTGCTTCAAAATTAGATAATTCATATATTTTATCTGGTAAGGTATGTTTGTACGTATATGCGTAGACAATTAATACATCTAATATTGCTTTTAGTTTCATCAATGATGGGAAAACATCTGCCTCATCTTCCCATCCCTACTGCCTGGTTGATCTCTCCTCTCTCTCTCTCTGTGTTTGTCCTGGTGTGTTTTGTAGCCACCAGCTGCAGACCCAAACACAAGTGAGGGTAGTGGTGGCTGGTTAGGTAATGCTGATGCCTGTGGTACTACGGTGTGGACGGTTTATTTTTAATATTGCTGAATATAAAGCCAGGACCAGGCCCTAGTCCAAAATTATTTCTTCAGGGCTTCAGGGTAGGCCTAGCCTAGTAGTAGGCCTAGCCATGTTGAAAATGGGAATTGCCTAAAATTATTGCATTTATGATTTATGATTTGACTCTTGAGTAAATCATAATGTGAACGGTATTTAAGTTATTAATTATCATTGTATTATTTTATATACAAAGCCTTCCGTATGATACTTACATTGGTACGGCCATGAAATACGAAATTACGCTTTACAGTATCGGTACATCTTTCCTGTTTGCACAACAGTTTCCCACCATGGCATTGACTAAACTGTCAGGAAAAATTTGGTCCGGGGCCAAAATCGGTCCGCCGGACCGATTTTGGCTTTAAAATTACCTGCCAAATGTAGTCCACATAAGCCAAAATTGGTTTGGCATCTATTTAGTTTATTAGTTATAATCTGTATTTTTTTAGCGTTGTTCATATTTGTTTTTAATAAAATGATAGATAAATATCTCATCTCTTATTATATAATATTTTTTCATTCGTTGTTTGTGCAATTGAGTATATAGCCACAAAAATTAATAATGTTGTTTTCGCACTTCGCGCCCAGTAAACTCTTTGGTTTAAAAAAGAAAAGAAGTTAAAAGATATGATAGTAAATCGTGTTGGTTCGGCCCTTTTTTCTGAGAGGCAGGAAAGATATCCCCTGTGCAGGTCTTACTTTTACAGTCTGGTAGCGGTGTGTAGGCTGGCGCATGCTATCATCCAATAAATTGACCCAAGTCGTGATTAGATCTTCATTAGAAGAAAGATGTTGCATGATGATCTTTGCATCTCTGTCTCTTGGAATATTACGTTGATTGTCAAAGCTACATGCAGTTTGTGCTGGGCCTAACAATGGTTGTATGAATTAATAATCATTTTGCTGCAAGCGATGAACTTAAGTGCAGTATCTTCTCTTGCAGCTTTTTTGTCATTTCGTTTTAATAGTGTAATGTTCACATTCTGATACACTTACATTTTAGAGGATACAGTACTGTATCCTCAATTTTTGTTGTCTTTTTTTACCCTAAACTCACTTTAACACATACAAATCAATTGCAGTGACTCACAAACCCATGGTTTACAAATAATAAATTACATTAAAAATATTTTCAAACACAATCTTTGTTTTTCTTGACAAATATTCAAGTATGGAAATGATCAGTGGTGTATCTAGGAGGGCATCAGGTGCAGGCCGAAAATGCGTGCTTCCCCCCCCCCCTCCGTCCCCTATGTCAATACTCCTACAGTAGATACACAACTGGCAGTGATTTGCTCAGACTTTCTTTGTTTTTATATACTGGTACTTATTTTATTGTTTCCCAGCCTTTAATTCTGCACAGATTACCAAATTTTCTTTAACAAAGAAACTGTTGTATATTGGAGATGCCCATATAATCAGGATGTGCCTAGTGTATATATGGTCATCGTGACCATATTTAGTCATGCTCTATGCTTAAATTGTCAAATATAATTTGATTGTTTGCACAGGGCTTTACACTGGACTACTGCAGTAAAAATTTACTTTTTTGGCTTAGAATCTCTTTAAAGCCTAAAAAACATAAAATTTAAATTAAAAATTTGTTTTCTAAATGTACAAAATCAAATGTACTATAGTTTAGAAATGCCACATTCTATGTACGGTATATTAATTTTTAATATACCATAAAACCTTGAATAGAAACTCAATGGGCTTTAATCTCGAGAAGAAGCTCATCTCAAATTGAAGCCCCCTCTTTAGTTTGCAAAAATAGCCTCGAGAAGAAGTCCATGGGCTTTTTTTCAAGAAAGCATGAGCTTCTTCTCGAAATAGTACAGTACTGATACATACACTGTACATCAATTTCAAAGAAACGAAATAAATTGAAAAAATGCTTTGTTATACAGGTGATTAATTTCCAGTTATACACTCCATGGTACAGATTGATGTTATAGTCGCCCAATTTATTGTTTATACTAGTAATTCCCAAAATTTACAGCATTTATTTTAAAAAAGAACCCCCCCCCCAACCTCCTTACTTTGCAAATGTAGCTTCGAAAAGAAGCCCTTCCAAAGTTGGCAAAAAAAAAAGAAAGAAAAAAAAAAAAGAAAAGAAGCCCAGGGCTTCTGTTCAAGGTTTATCAGTATACTTTTTAGAGGTTTCACAAAAGAAATGTAGGCCTATATGCTGACCAGTTTATTCTTTCCTACTTTTCTTGTTTTCACTACAGTTAGTATGTGTGTGTGTGTGCATAAGAATCAGTCTAAATATGATATGTGGTGTCATCGTTGGATTCAAGCTTTGTATATGTATTTAAATACTGTACCATTAACACAATCTTCCCATTTTTATAGAATTCTGATACAAACTCACAAGGTACCAAATAGCATCCTCCAAGCTGCTGTGCGTGTTTTCCTCTGTTTAGCGAACAAGGATTAGCCACTGAGATATTTCTTCACCAAGAAATAGATTTTGAACAATTCGAAATCCTGGAAGGATCACCATTACTACCGCTGAATAGGCAGAGGTTCCCGTTCGTTGGTGGCATGCCTGCACCAGGTATACCAGGGCCTATGGATGGCCGTGACCACCATCCTGGCTTTCCACCGTAAGTTACCAATTAATTTACATGTAATTGTTTGTAGTAAGATTCTAGATCAGTTTATTTGTCATAAGTACATTTATAATATTTTAATATTTTTTATTTGTTATAAACATAGACTTAAATTATTAAATTAAATTAAATATTTCAATATTTTAATAATTTTATATTTTTATATTTTAATATTTGCTATAAACAAAGGTTTAAATTGGTCCGTGACTGGTTGAAAGATAGGCCAATCCGCCACTGGACTTGTATTGAGACCATTAGAAAAAAAATGAATGAATGAAAGTCAGGGTTTGAATTTCCTCAAAATGTTCCATCAGCAAATAGTTGCAGTGGGCTATGGCTTTACTATAGCAATTTATTCTTCTACTACAGCAACAAGCTTCGTAAATTGTTCTAAGAATACTGTAGGCCTTCTATAATGTAAGTGTATAATCCATTGCTGGGTCAGGTAACTCAACAGCAAAAACTTGCTGTCGAGTCTGGGATTTACAACAGCAGTGGAAGGCCCTTTCTGCAGAAAGAAAATTCGTATTAGAAATTCTGAAAAATGATGTTTGACACCAAAAATATGCTTTGTACAAACATCCACCCTATACTACAGACAAATGGCTCAACATAGTAGGATGCAATTGTACATTGTACAATTGTACATGATACTGGAATTTCTCTACTGTACATCCATCATGATGCTCTTCGAGTACTGACATCCTAAACTCTTCTTCCTGAACTCTGATATATTCACTATGAACACTTGCCATTTTGTAAAAAAATATCTTTTTTTAAGGACCAGGTTATTTTATTAGGGTTTCTAGTTATTTTTAAATAAGATTGTAGCTAAATTATTCAAATACTTATAAAACATGTAACATGTAATGTAGCATCTTTCGTAGCTACTTTCATCAGGTGAAGTTACAGTATTACCCTCGAATGGTATTGCACAATAGCGTGCGTCTGTGGTGTGTGTGTCCTTCCGGGCGCATAACTCAAAAACTACTGAACTGATTTATTTCAAATTTTCACACATTTGACAATATTACATCTTGACTTTGGTGCTAATCCTCGAATTTGCTGTTTTAGAACGTTACATTTTTTGGCCGGAACTGACAGAACTAGAGCTGATCGTTCGTCTGATTCGTTTTGCTAGGCCAAGCGGATCGACTGAGTGCTAGATTGAGTGGATTAACCATGTGTCGAATTCTGGCTGGCTATCTGGAAGTGTTCCGTATGGCGTGCAAACTCGCCCGATGATGGGCTTGCCACATGAGACCTATGGTGCTAGGCCTTGTTTGGCGGATGGAGCAGATCGACCGCGGGCCATTATTTTTTTAGTACATATAAAATATGGCACAACAGGGCGAGATTTTGTAATTATAGATTATCTTGTATGACATTGATGGGTTGGGCAAACTAATTGCAAAATTAATTGCTAGTTTCAGATTGCCGCCCTCATCTTATTTTGGAGCAAATTAATATTTGTTGTTTTTCAAAAAAGCAATCATTTTTTTGCATAGAAAATAAGTATAATGATAATCTGAAAGATTTTTTTCAAAGCCTAAGATAAGGTGGCAATGGCAGAATACTGTACATTACAAAGATTCGTTTTACTTCATTTATACAAGTAAAAAACACTATTTTTGATATTTTCCAGACTGTTACTAGTAAGCAAAGACAAAGACCATACAAAGACTGTTAGGAATTCTCTAGCCTGGTTCACGTCAAACTTTATCTAGATAAACCCGTCTTGAAACATAATACGATAATCCCCTAATTGCGTTCGATGCCAAGTTAGAGCCAGATAAACAGCCAGCCAGTTTCAGGCTTAGTTTAATAAAACATCTACTGTATTTTACAAACCTCAAGTACCAAGTGGTATTCGTTCAAAAAAAATTGTAAACTATGTAGAGAAGGTGTGAGTTTCCACTACCTAACCTAGCCGACCACTACGAACCAACCACAGTGCAGCAGCGTGTTCTATCGCAATCTAAGTAGTAGATTCTCTAGGCCCTAGCTACATTTACCTTCGATAAAAAACGAATTATTTTAATCGCTAGCTAGCATTCTTCCATTTAACATAATATTGTTTTAATTTTCATTAAAACGTATGTATACTATATAGACCTTTCTGTCCTGTTTTGTAGTTTTTAGATCGCTCAATTGTGTTGTTTACATGCACTTCGCGAAAATCTAGCTTCGCGGTGTCAAACAAGTTGCTGACTTCCACACACTTTTTTATTTCGTCATCGTAAACATGTGCGCTCATTTTAACGACTGGCGTTGGTGGTAGTTCGTTGAAATTGATTTAATAGCGACTATTATAGCAGAAATGGAAAAGATTGAATTGTCAATAAATAAATACAACAAATCTGATTTTATTATTAAGAAAAATATACATTATCATTTTGAAAAATGTACGCAATCGGACTTTTTAACGTTATTACTTGGTCGATGATGCAAAGGGCAAAGGTCATTGGTAATATCGACTATTCGTAAAACGGACGTTTGCTGGGTTTTTACCCATAAT